TATAAATATATAGATTTATATGTATGTATGTATGTATGTGTGTGTAATATGATTTGACTACTGGGTAAGTTGGTAATTTTTTGCAGTGTAAAAGTAGTTTACAAACAGTTGATATGGGACAAACAGAGATAGAGATAGAGAAAGAGAGAGGTGGCAATTAAAGAGAGACAGATAGCGATAGTTGTTGTTGTTGTTCGTTTGTTTTGATGTGTGTGTGTGTGTTTGTTTTGTTTAATTGATTGATTGCTTGATTGATTCGATTGATTGATTGATGATTGGCGAACCTCGCTGATGGCAGCCGTTGCGCAGTTTCGTTATATTTCCTATCACTCTGTTGCCCTTATAAATCAGCAGAGTGTCATTATACGATATTGTCTCGTTGGGCTCAATATCGAACCGAAAGCCGTTGCAACAGTATCCCCTGTATATATCGCATAGCTTGGGCGGCTCTTCAATCATGCGCGATGTGTCTAGAATGTGGATGGATTGGATGTTTGTTTTGATGATTTCATATATTTCACGGATAAAGATGATCGTATAAGGGGATTTTGTTTTTTTTTTTTTTTTTTTTTTTTTTTTGTGGTGTGAACGGGTGTGTGGTGAATAAAAAATAAAGTTGAAAGATATGTAGAAAATTGTATAAAATTTTGAGAGAATAGCTAGGCTTAAAATAAATAAAATATATATATGTATATGTCTAAAAAAAGGCTGAAGGGACATATCGTGTATGTGTTTGTGTTTCAGAGAAAGAGAAAGAAAGAGAGGGAGAGAGGGGGCAGAGAGGTAGATAGAGTAAGGGCGAGAGAGCGGGGTAAGCGGAATTCTGATAAGAGCTGGATCATCATGATTTGGCTCAATTCAAGCTGAAGAAGCTGAAAGTTCGCGTCCAATCGACTTGGCTGGGAGCGGGCACAATCGGTTTGTATCTAAGTCTGGTGCCCATTCTAGACCAAACTAGATCCAGTTAAATGGGTCCCTCTTCTCGTTTTCATTTAGCTTTGCCTCTAATTTTCGATGTATGCTGCCGTGCTGCTAGCACAGCTACTTACCGAAGTCCTGGCAACGATCGCCCTTGAAATTCTGCTTGCACTGGCACTCGACGTAGCCGCTGCTGCCCAGGTAGCAGCTCTGGGTGTTCTCCTCCTGGCACGGACAGCTGCGACACTGGCCGTTCTCCTCGCGATAGTGGAGCGGAGCGCAGTTCTCGCAGGAGTTGCCCGTGTAGCCGGCCGGGCATTGGCACAGCTCGATGTCCGTTACGAGCTCGGCGCCGGGCTGATCTGCGTCCAATGACAGTTCCCAGGTCACATCGCTAATGGAGGTGCGAGTGGTGGGGATTTTGGGTGTGGCACGAATGAGCAGATGCTCGATATTGACCAGAACGCTCATGATGTCGTGTCGGGAGGCGGGCACGGCGCTGCCACTGTCCAAGCGCAGCCACTGCTCATCCTCGCTGAGGCGCACACTGTACTCGTTGAGCTGGGCATCCTTCGCCGGTCGGGACCAGACCAGGCGCACGCCATTGCCAATAAGCACCACATCGTTGCCGGGCTGATAGTCGCCGAAGGACTCGGCGACCAGGGTGTATTTCAAGTAGCCGCCATAGGCGTGCAGTTGATTGCCTTGGACATTGCCGCGCAGACTCCAGTACTTGGTCGAGTACGACGGATAGGTGTAGGTGTACATGTTGGTGGGAATGTCCTTTTTGAGGTTGCTATCGTCCATTTCCATTTGCTGTCCGTATTCGTCCGTGATCAGAGCCTTGTTGCTAATGAAGTCGATGGCGATTAGCTGGCGATAAGCCACGGCGGAACGGCACTGAGACGAATGGCCCGAGCAGAAGCAGTCCTTGCATCCATCCGGATTGCTGGAGGCCAGGCCGAAGGTGTTCGGACGGCACTGGTCGCAGCGCGCGCCGACCACGTTGCGCCTGCAGTAGCAGACACCGTTGCGGCAATCCTCCGTTCCGTCTCTGTTGCACCATTGGCATTCGCGCTGATCGTCTGGCGTCGGCTGGGGCGGTTGCGGCGGCTGTGGCCCATTGTTGTCCGGCTGGCAGTCATAGGGCGTGCCACGAGTGGCATCGCCCACATAGCCGGCGGCACAGCGATCACAGTTCTCGCCCTCGGTGTTGTCAGCGCAGCTCTGTGTGGGGCGGAGGGGGTAGGGGCGTATTAGAAGTGGAACAGTTGCATTGTCTTATAGAGTCTTTGGCACTTACCAGGCACTCGCCAGATTCGGCATCGCATTGCGTGGAATGACCATTGCACTCGCAAGGCTCGCACAGGCCCAGGTAGAGGCCGCCTTCGACATTGCGCTTGTAGCCGGGTGCGCAACGCTCGCAGGATAGTCCAATGTAGCCCTGGGGGCAACGGCATTCCTCCACTTCAAGGGCGCGCTGGGTGCCGTAGCCATTTGAGGTGGCCACGTCCATGACGACCTGCTTGAGGGATCCCTCCATGGTGCTGGTGGTGTAGGTGGCCTTGATATAGATGGCATCGATCTTGCTGAGCGCCATCAGCAGATGCTCGCGATTGGTGGCTTCGCCGTCTATGCGCTGCCAAGCGCTCTCAATGATCGGCACGGCGTATGAGTTCGAGGTGCTGGGACTGACGGCTGCTTTGCGGAAATGAATGAGGGTTAGATCCTCGCCGCTCTTGATGACCACATCGGGTGCGCTGTTGCGCGACATCTGGCCGCCGGGCAGTGGGCTGTAGCTGAGGGTGTAGTTGAGACGTCCGCCATAGGCGGTCAGTTTGTTGCCCAGGAAGGGGGCGGGCAGGCTCCAGTACAGGGTGTCGGCGCTGTATTCCGAGCCGGACCTGAAGCTAATCTCATTGGAAAGCGTATCGAAGGGCACGGACTGAGGGCTGGCCAGCGTGTAGTCGCGCACAAGCTGGAAGCCATGCGGCACATGGGAGTGGCCGAAACTGCTGCTGACCTGCTCGCGATACCACGAGGTGCTGGTACACTCCGCCTGCAGGCCGCTGCAGAAGCACTCAATGCAGCCGGAATAGGTGAAGGAATTCAAGTGGAAGCTGTTCTGTGCACAGGTGTCGCAACGATCTCCGGTGACCAGGGCCTTGCAGTCGCAGCTGCCGTCGGCATTCTGGTTGTAGGTGCCCTCGATGTTGCACTGCGATTCGGGTGTCTTGTGGCAGGCACCGCCCGGTATCAGTGGGTTACCCTGATAGCCGGCGGCACAGCTCTCACAGCGTCTGCCCTCATAGCCCTCGTGACAGTTGCAGATGACATCGTTGTCGGGACTTAGCTTGCAGCCGTTGGCAAAGTTATTGGTGCCGGTGTGCGGGCAGGGGCACTCGCTGCAGGGTATTCCACGGCGCGGATCACCGAAGGTGCCGGCCGGGCAGAGCTCGGGCACGAAGGGTACACAGCGACCCAGCCAGGGACCGCCCGGCTGGCGTACAAAGCCAGGTGCACAGCTTTCACATGAATCCCCAATATAGCCAGGTGGGCAGTTACATTTCTCAACCAGCGAGGCACTTCCCAGACCCTGGTCCGTGGTGCCAGCCGAGTCCATGGCAATGTTGGTTAGCTCCACTTCGCGTGCCACCGAATCAATATAGCCGAGACGTATCAGAATGTTGTCCACATTGGCCAGTATCATCATGATCTCCTCCCGTGTGGCCTTGCGACCGTCGGGCTTAAGCCAATTGCCTGGCAGGAAGCTGATCCTCACCTTGTTCAGTATGTTGGCCTGGGTGCGCACACGATTGGTGAGTATGAAACCGTTGCCGGTGATGATGGCATCGGGTCCAGAAATGGGACGTCCACTGCCCAAATAGTTGACCTCATAACGAAGCTCGCCGCCATAGGACTTCAGCTGATTGCCCATGTACTCGCTGGGCAGGGCCAGGTAGGGTGTTTCGCGACTGTTGTATTGCACGTCGGAGGCACGGAACTGCACACCATGATGGAGCGTAAGCAGGGAGTGTCCGCTGCCCTCGTTGATGACGATCTGCTGATAGGGCGTCAGATCGACGGTGACCACGCGGTGCGACAGAATTGGTGGCTGTATGGCATAGGTGAACAGATTGGCGCTATCGCAGGAGCTGGCCACGCCGAAGCAGAAGCACTTGATGCACTCCTCGGTGGAACGGGCCAGCATATTGAAGAAGCCAGCCTCACAGACCTGATTGCGATCAGGTATCACCTTCACTATGGTATCGGGCGTTACGAAGATGGTGCCGCGCGTATTCATTATTTCGCAGGAGTAGGCGCCGCTGTCCTTGTACTGCATGTTGGGGCAATAGAGATCGCCGCGACCGTTCGAGCTCGTGAACGTGCACTGGTCGGGCACATGACCCCAGTTGAGACGCCAAATGATCGTCGGAACGGGCACACCCGTGCCCGTGCAGGTCAAGTTTAAGGACTGTCCCTCCAGCAACGACTGCATCGGTGGTGGTTTTCTCAGTGGCTTCGGGTCCGCTGCAATGCAGATTATTTGTATGTCAATAGATTGTCGTTAATTTCCTGATTTATTACTGATTTGTGACTTACTGCAGCCGAACTCATCGCTGCCATCACGGCAATCGTTGATGCCGTCGCAGTGGAAGCTCTTGGGTACACAGTGACCGGTGGAGCATTGGAATTCGTCGTAGCGGCAGGGCGCACCACTGGGCTCGGGATCGCAGGACTCCTCGTCGGAATTGTCACCGCAATCGTCTTCGCCGTCGCAGCGCCATGTGCGCTCCACGCACTTGGTGTTTCTGCACAAGAACTGATTCGGCTGGCATCTGCGTCCGTGGCTGCATCGGTGTTCATCGGATCCATCCGAGCAGTTGGGCACGCCATCGCAAATCTCCGACTTGTCAATGCATTCGCTGTTCATGCAGGTCGCCTGGTATTCGGTACAGGCTGTCGGTGGGCGTTCGTGTTCGTCGATATTGACTGTCGAATAGAAGAGCACACGTACAGAGCTATAGCTTCAAGAATTCCGTCATAGCTGTGACCCATTCAGTCTTACCAGCATAATAGCCAGGTTGGCAGTAGGGGAATTGAAAAATATTTTATGGATTATCTAATGCTCAAATATGATTCGTGGAGCTGACATTGGTCTAAGACTGTCAATAAATGCTACCTAACGCAGCGTTGATGAAATGATTTTCCATCTAATTTATCTAATTATATATATTGAAATTCCTTAAGGAATGTTTTTACTATCTATCAAAGACCAAGTCCAGCTCCAAATCAGCTTACGAAAACTTCCAAATTTACCTAGACCAAAGAATTCAAGATCAATATGCGGAACGGTGCCATATTTGATTCGATTTGATTTCGGCTCCTCGTATTTTTGCTCGCCCCAAGCTGCGTCCAAGCAGAATTCGTAGCAAACGGAGAGTATAGTATTCAACAACCCCAATCAAACCCAACCAAATCTCTAGGGATTAGTAATGAACCACCCAAGATTATACTTACAGCGTTCGACAGTCAGATGGACGGTCACTTGTTGGCCCTGAATGTAGCTCGGGTAGCCAACAGCTTCGCACACATAAGTGCCAGAGTCCTCCACCTATTGATACAGTGGTTAGATTATAATCGAGTGTGAATATTGTAAGGACGAGTCCAACTTACGCGTATGTTGGGTATTTCCAGACGTCCTCCCTTGTCGGAGAAGCCAACAGGCAATGGGCGACCGCCGGGGCGTGTCCACCTGACCTTGGCACGGGCTGGACCCTCGTCACGGCAGCGGAAGATGACCTCGCGACCTGCATGCCACAACAATTATTAGGTAATATTCATAAGGAAGGAACGTATATATATACATATATATAAATAAGATTATCTAATAGTCGGTAGCATAGCGAGCAAGTATTGGATCTAAGTAGGACTATAATACAATTGAATTGTGATTGTGTGTGGGGGGATTTACAGTTGTGATTGTTCTAAGGTATCTAGCAGGTGTGGGTGCTGACTGCAACATCAATAATAATATTAATTTCGACAGAATGTACAACGCCGGACCTGTTGCCAATTGCTGTGGTGCAGTAGTGGTGCAGCTGTACGAGACGAGTGACTACTATTTATATAGAGTGTGTAGTTAGGCCAACTTACCCTCCCTAATATATCCTGTAGGTATTTAATTTATGGGTTATGTCATTTTGGTTGGGTTAAGCATTAAAAGTAATGGTAAAGCATTATGTAGAATCAAACAAACCATTATAACCATTGTAGACAAAAACAATGAAATACATAAAAACGTTCTTCGAATGCGTTCGAAGGGGCTTTAGAGCCTTGCAAAAGAAAGATCTTGACCAGGTGTTCGATTACATATATCGAGCTATCGAACAGACAACGACAAGTTAAAGCGGTGAATGAGCTTGCAGTATCTCAGATCGATAACAGACAAAGTTATCGATATCGAAGGCGTCCCTGATTGTTTACAAAACTTAATTAATCGACAATAAAATGGATTATTACAATTGACATAAATAATCGATCTTTTGCAAGGCATTCTGTTCTGGTTTTCTGTTTGCCACCCAAGATTATACTTAAAATTTCTTTCTCAACTCACTTTCTTTGATGATCTGGCTGTCCGGGTAGGTCTTCAGGTTCAACTGGCTGCGACCAGCAGGAGAGGTATCGGATGCTGTGAAAATAAAAAGTACACTTGGCGCATTAGTCTATGATCTACTGCAGACGAATTATGATATTTATTAGTCGTATTTATAGAGAAAAGTATTAAATGGAGAATCGAGAGCGTATAGCTATAGTAGACCCGCACTGTTTCCTAAACCGTTTAGTACTCTGGTTGATTGGTTAAGCTAATATTAATATAGTTGTGATTGTTGGTGGTGGTGGTGGTGGTGTTGGGGTTGTTTGTGCTGACACCGTTGTTGGTCGGGATAGTACACGGGTCGCTGAGCACTTACTATCGATTTCATTAGTGATGGGCTCACAGTCCAGCTCATCGCTGGCATCGAACGGACAATCGATAACACCATTGCAGCGCGCTGTGAGCGCTATGCAAGGACCATTCTCACACCGGAACGCGGTGGGTGGGCAAATAATGCGCAATGGCCCCACAGGCAGCACTGTAGTTGTCGTTGGCGCCACCGTTGTGGTTGTCGTTGTGGTGGCGGTGGTGGTGGTGGTGGTTGTTGGCGATGCAGGCCTGTAGCTAGCTAAATGTTGATGACCTCATCACGATCAGTGATCGATCAATCAATGACAATGATGATGATATTATGATGATAATGATGATGGTCATGRTGATGATGATGATGTTCTTGATAACGGATCAAGCTGGTTGCTCGTCGCCCTAGCCTAAGCCCCAGTTAAGGACTCCCACACAACTGGCTACTTACCACAATTGCTCTCATCGGAGCTGTCCTGGCAATCGGTCTTGCCGTTGCACCGAGCGGTCAGGCTCACACACTGTCCGTTCCGGCAGCGGAACTGATTGTGCTGGCATTGCAGTATGTCGCAGTTCTCCTCGTCCGAGCCATCCATGCACTGTCTGATTCCATTGCAGACGTCGTCCTGGGACACACAACTGCCGTCCCGGCAACGGAACTGATCCGAAGCGCAGCCTGTGTGGAAGCGAACAAGTGAAGAGATTATTAACTGAATTAGTTCCGAGCGAACTTTTGCTACAGCTGTACGGAATCCAAAGCTAGACAAATCATAGTCATATAGTATATATATATAAAGAGGTAGACAATATATATATCGTATAGAAACGAAAGAGTGCATACACATGTGTAACTCGTGTTGTTGTCGTAAATATCGTTTTCTAATAATCGTTGTGTCTTAAATTTGGACTAGAGTTTCTTTCACTTAGCTAGCATGCAGTTGGCTTAGGTACGAACTAAAACAATGTACAGCTACAACTAATATAATGGCTTAAATAATTGCAGAAATTTGATTATTAACCAATACAGTTCTGTTCATCAGAAAAGTCTTTGCAGTCGTAATACCCATCGCAGTGCTGTGTTGCATTTATGCAAAACTGTCGATCGTAACAGAAAAACTCGGTTTCCTTGCATTGAGTACCTGTTTAAATTTTTTTTTTTTTTTTTTTTAATTTGGTGCAATTTTGCAAAAGAATTTGTTATAAGCGACAAAAAAGAAAGACGTCAGAGATAGTTAAAGTACATATATTTATATTTGGAGAGAGAGAGAGACAGTCATATATACATAGATAGATCAGTGCATTGTAATTAGTGTGTAGATGTAAATGTAAGCAAGTGAGATAGAGAGACAGTGAGAAAAAGAGTGGGAGAGAGAGAGAAAGTGAGTGAGTGAGAAAGAGAGTGAACAACATTGATCAGCAACTGAAAACAGAAAGCATATAACTAACTAGACATACGTGAGTACGTCAATCAACAACTAATTCAAACTAGGTGCCTCAAGTGCTATGCAAGATACGAATCCAAAAATTGAAAGTTATCAAAACTGAGTGTGCTTAAGCAGTTATCCTTAGCAGAAAAAAAAAAAAAAAACAAAACAAAAAGAAACGTCATCTCCTAAAGTTTTTTGACTAATTTCTTGATAAACCATAAACTTGATATCGAAGAGAGTATTTGAATCGATAGAATTAGGGGATATAGGTTTTTTAAATCTATATCCATTTAAATATATTGTATATTACAACTTTCAAATGGCTGCTTAGAGAGTTTTTAATGCATTCGACTGCGAAAATAATCGAAGGATAATAAAACGATAATTTTAACGTTGAAGACGTGACATGATCAAATGACAATCTCTTTGAATATTATAACCGCTGAGAGTTATCGATCAATTGAACTATTGGAAATAGTATCACTCTTGTGTGTATTTAGCAAAACTGAAAACAGCTACTATATATACTTTCGAAAACTATTGAAGGCATTCAATGATGAAGTGACAATTAGCTGTAATTTATGAATGTAGCTATCGGAAATAGTATTTCTCTTCTTTGGTTACGCTTGAGATCTATCAAATCGAAAAACTCAGATAAATTAAGCCAGCGTTAAAGCTGTAGCCTATCGCTTAACATATACCAGGACTACATGTTAGTAACTCTCTTGTGTTTCATGGTCTCTCACTTTAAGGTGATGAGTGCGTTCTGCATGCTCCCTAGCGTTACGGAAATTGTTTGAGTTACGAGCTGTGATTCTGTTTGATGGCGATGATATCGATTTTAGGATTGAATATGAAATACTTACAGTTGGCCTCATCGGAGCTGTCTTCGCAATGGCGACGACCGTCGCAGCGTTCGCTTTCCGTGTAGCATCTGCCACTGGGGCACGTGTGCTGTGGACAGGGTAGTGGCGGATACAATGGATGACGTGTGGTATGCAAATGGCAGTCGCGCTCATCGCTGCGGTCAATGCAATCGATATTTCCGTCGCACAATATCGAACGATCAAAGCACGACTCATCGCAAAAGAACTGATCTCGTCGGCAGTCATTCGCGGTCAATCGATCGGTGGCTATGATGGCGATGACGATATCGATATCGATATGGCGATGGCGATGGCATGCAATTTATTTGTGATGTGTGTGTGTGTGTCGATACCGTTATCAGGATCACGATACCGATAGCGATAACGATGGCATTTACGTGTTAAGCGTGTTTCAGTAGCATAACAAGAAAGAGAGAAGAGAATCGAGATGAGCAATGCTTGTTTGGAGAACAGTTGAGTAGTTGACATTAGTGAAGCGCAACATTCAGTTGACAAACACAAACTCACTTAGTAGTATTACATATATACAAGCAATACAAACCTGTTGCGATACACTCAAGTCTATCGCTGTTTATCGATAGACGCAAAAGAGCCTAACTTACAGCTATAATTATATATGAATATATGTATATATATAGTTTAAACTAATTGGAATTGGATTTTTGGTTTGGATAATTTTTGTTTTCTTTGGCTTTTTGGACTTTGATTTGGTAATGGGTGACTGATTGGATCGAGTGGGTGGTTGTCTGGTTGGTGGGGGTGATTTTTTTGGTTTTTAATGGAATTGTGTGTATCGTTACCCTGTCCCAAGCATCTACTCGGCAATTCATCCGATTCGTCCGTGCAATCGGCATGTTTGTCACACAAAAAATCGGCGTTAATGCATTCAGAGTTTGAGCACTGCCATTGATATGGTTGGCATTTCCTAACTGTTGTATTTCTAAAATGTTTGCTGCCAGCTGTGTGTGTTTGTGTGTGTGTTTGAGTGTGTGTGGCGTTTGTTAAAACAAAATGACAAAAATAACAAACGTAAAAAATAAAAAAAATAAAACGCATGAGCATCACAAAAATTATGCGGAATATTTCTGACTTGTGAGAGCAATAGGCTAAACGAGATAGCAAAAGAGCAAAGAATAAGAGAAAGAAAGAAAATAAATAAAGAGAGAGAGAGAGAGAGAGAGTAACAGAGAAAGAGAAGTAGATAGATGGATAGATGACGGTGTATGTAAGAGTGCGAAAACAGCTGTGATAGGGCTCTTTATGAGCCATCGATACTGATCGATATATATCGAAGCCAACTCAATGTTTTAAGTAAAATTTGAATAAACGAAAACGGAATAATGCGAAACTTGATTTAGCAAAGCAAAGCTATCGACAATCAATTATAAGTGCCGATTACAAAATACAAAAATATTTATTAAATGACATGACAAAAGCAATGCAAAATCATGGCTGCTCTGCATGATATCGATTTGCATCGATATCAATTTGGAACTATGCTTAATAAGCAGCGCGAGCATTAAAAAAAAGTTTAGTGTGTCTAAATAAAGATCGATAACTATCGATTGGTAGAAATGATAAGATAAAAGATAATTTCGAAGGAAAAGTCTACAGAATTGAAAGTATAAAAGTGAATGTGTAATTGTTACCCGGACAATCGAGCTCATCGACGCCATTGTCGCAATCTCGTATACCATCGCAGCGCAGCGACCAATCGAGGCAGGCGCCGTTACAGGCGATTTGATTTATCGCACAGCTGCTACCTTCAAAATGTAATGCAAAACAATGAAAATATATGGGATAATAACAAAATCAAACGCTGTTTTAGCTGAGCTACTATATTACCAATTAGACACAACTAGCTACAGCAAAATATCGATTAAAAATTATCGAGAAATCAAAAGAAATTCAAACTACATAAGTGCTACGACTACGATGCAGCTACGCTTGCAGTGCGAGGGTTTGATACGGTAATTAATAATATTTTCAGGTTGCGGATTAATAGGTAGAGGTCAGTTATCGGGGACAGTTTCCTCTTTTTTTTTTAGTTTTTTGTTTCTATGTAATGTGCGCTTACCACAGTTGAGCTCATCGCTGCCATCGGAACAGTCCGCGATGCCATTGCAATGCAGCTTGGCTGCAATGCAATCGCCCGTGTTGCAGCTGCCGATTGAGCGATAAGTTTATCGATGATCGATGATAATGGCGATGGCGATGATCGTGTGTAACAGAGTGTGTGTATGTGTGGGTGTGGTTGTGTGTGCATGAGTGTGTACATGGAAATATATAGAATAGCTGATCAGATTCGTGTCGATGATGGTGGCTAGGATGAGCTGAGCCTTTTGGGAAGGTGTCTTACAGATAGGCCTCATTGCGACATGAAGTACAGTTGCGTTCGTCGTTGCCATCGTTGCAGTTAACAATACCGTCGCAGAGCTGATCGCGCGGTATACAGTAATCATCGCACTCGAATTCGTGCTCTAGACAATGCTCTGCAAAATGTTTATGATCATGATTATGTATATGTGAGGGTGTGTGTGTGTGTGTGTGTGAGACAGTGAGAGTGAGTTTCGTGGGCGTAATTAGTTTGACAGTTCTTAGGCAAATACAGTAAAGCCACACTATAGCCAACACATTTAGTGTGTGTGAGTGTGTGTGAGTGTGTGTGAGTGGGTGTGTGAGCGATGTACGTGTGGTTCTTTACCTGTAAAGGCCGGACAATCGAGCTCATCCGTTTCATCTTGACAGTCCGCATAGCCGTCGCACTTCTTCTCTAAGGGTATGCACTGACCAAAGTCACATTCAAAGTAGTACAGATCGCACTCATTCAAGGGATCATTATCATTGTCAGTGTCTGAGTCACTGTCTATATATTTGTATGTTTGTGTGGGTGTGTGTGAGAGTGAATGTGTGTGTGTGTGTGTGTGTATGTAAGATAAGAGAAATGTTGCGTCAGATATTAGATATATGATAACTCGCTCTGTTCACTAGTTGCTGCGAACCCATCAAGCTCTAAGCCAATTAGTTATATATGTATCTTTAAGGTTAGTTATACTCTGTTCTTTCGCTGTACCGTAGTTCGTATCGTAATTGATCAGACAGTTGTACTCATCGGCGCTGTCAGCGCAGTCGGTGATGCCATTGCAGCGCTTATAGCCAGAAATGCAGCTTCCGTCCCCGCATTGATATTGAAAGCTCTGGCATTCGACGATCGGGCGGCTCAGATTAAATTTGGCATGAAAGTCTGATGATGTATGTTGTGTGATGGTATGACGGTATGACGGAATGATGTGTTGTTGTTGTAGTTTGTTGAAGATTGAGCATAGTTCACAAAGAGCGAGACAGAAGAATAGTGGAAGAGCGAAAGGGAGACGATGCTCGCACAGTATGTATATACAAAAATATATATATATAGACATACATATTTTTCGTTTTAGGTGTATATATACATATATATTTTAATTTTTCAGATAAAAGCGTAGAGCATAAAAAAAGAAGAAGAGAAAAGAGTACAGTTAGCGGCATGACAAATGATAATACTTTCGTTTCTTCTATAGGATATTTGGTGGACACAGGGGAAGCAGGATTTTGGATTCGAGTTTTAAGTGTGATTATAGCACTATGTAAAAGCTATTCAAATATACTTATTTGAAAATAACAAATAAAATACCAAATAACTCATGCTCAGAACTATACCAAAATAAAATATTTTTAAATAAATAAAT